ACCTGGGGAATCAAGCGCTTTCCGTACTGGGGCTGTGCCATGCTGAAGTAGTGTAATGCTGAAGTAGTGTAATGCTAGTTTGTCAAAAGTGAGATACTAAGTTGGTATCGTATGGTAGTGTTTCGAGGGTTGAAAGTATCAAATGGTATAAGCTGTATTGTGTTGCAGTTGTAGACGATAGTCAAAAGGCTTGTGAGAGTGGGATATGTATGAGTGTGTGGTCTCGAAACCCAAGTTCACGGGGCCAAGCCAGAGTGTTTATATATTCAGAAGAGAGAAAGCTCTGCTCCATTCTCTTCTGAGCTAAGGTAGCAAAACATACTTTTGGGTCCAGCATAGTTCTGGCCCCTAGCCATGCATCGGCATTTTCTCATGATGCTCAAGTCCGCACACCTACTCAGCGAAGAAGGACATAGCTCGGCGAAGGAGTTGAGATGAAGACGTCATGTCTACATGGCAGCAGTTCCACCGTGCTGCAACAAAGCCCGGGACCGTTATCGGCCGGTCGGCGCTCAAAGGTGTACCGGCGCCGCGAGTGGAGCAACGCTGAAGTTGGGAGGAGGGAGGAGGGACAAGGAGGGAAGAAAAGGCTTGTTTCGAGTTCGTTTATTGCCCATTGCTGAACTAAGCCGGGTCTCTAACGTAGGAAGATCGGTCGTCCTCTAGGGGCGAGCCGCGAGCTAGTGTAAGGTGTCACCGGTGTGTGCGGTCTTTGCCCACATTGTGTGCTTGTCTTTCCTCGCAAACTGCCAGAAACAGGTTCCGGTTTCTAGCGGGGCACGTACGGGCAGTGTGGGGCGAAGCGGACGGAGGAGTTGAGGACGGAATTCGGCCGTCAAAAGGGGCATAGAGGGGGGCGAACGGGGGTGGTGAATCTCCTGCGCTTCATCCATGGACCATGGGCCATGGGTATTCTCGCTCGAGTCCGAACTGCAGTTTGCGACTGCGAAACCGTACTTCGGGTGGCATTCACGGCATGTTGAAGACCTATTGGATGGGTCCTCCTTGCTTCACACTCGTAGGTCCTCCGTATGAGAGTATAGTCATGTACGGAAAGATATCAAGAGAGCAGGTAGATCTCTTGACTGACTTCTTTCTCATAGGCGCGGGCTCGCCGTTGACGAACTGGGCAGCAAACCGGCGAGTTTTGGGTCTGCCTGGCTGGTCTCAGTCTGGCACCCCCTGACAACCCGGATATGCCTCACAATGACAGGACTGCGTCTGCAAGATTGCAAGAGTGCCTCAACATTGCAGACGCTACCGTACGCGTGTGTGGGGTGGAACGAAGTCAAGCTTTGATGCTAGGACGGGCCGTGATATCCGCTTTTTTCCTTCGGAGGGCTCGGAGAGACATTGGTTTGTGAGAAGTGCGAATGTGGGAACTCGATCCAATGGCTGTGAGTTGTATCCGTATCCATAGCCGAATCAGGGCCCGATCTCTTCGCATCTTTTGAGTTTCTCAAGCTTCTACTGGCCTGCTCGTTTGGCCTAGGCATCTCCACAGCTTGTTCGAATCTGAAGGAGAGTGGCGCCGCAGTCTGCAGTCTGCAATCTGCAGAACAAAGGGGGACGGAAAGACGGCTAGCCCGACCAGGATCAGTGATCTTCTGCGAGTATGACTGAGCAAAGCTTGAAAAAAGCGTAGGATCGCACTGGAACGGAACATTTGAGGCGCGGCGGCAGGGCGGGCGGGAAGCGGTCGGCATTTGGCGGCGCACGGGACAGATTAGATTGCAGATCTCCTCCCTTTTACCTGGGGCCGCTGCACTAACTTCTCTCCATCTTAACTGGTTCAAAGTAGTCGTGATTTGTGGTTGTGTCAGTGTGTCTGGTGGACTGGGACGAAGAGGATCATCAGAGTTGGGGCCGGGGGGAAGAGCTTGGCGTCGAGTGGCGCATACGTCAGCAGCCCATGACCTCACATCTCACTCACACAAACTCACTTTTCGCTGTGACTTTCACTTGTCCCTTCTCACTCTCACTTTCACTGTCACAACACCCACACAAATTGGGTGAAGGATTTTTAAAACCCCGCAAATCTCTTCGACAGAAGCTTCCAATTCGTCTTCTAGTCTGAACTTGGCAAAAGACCCTTACTACGCACTACATCAAATAAGGTAGCACTAACATGCTACTCTGTTACGCTGATCACTGATCGAGAGACACAGACACGGACCGGACATCGGCATATTCACTTCATAGCGCCGAGAATCCTTCAATTCCTTCCGCATGCTACACGGGGATATCGCACTTGTCTCGTGCCGCCTCGGCTTATCTGACTATGTGAGCAGTATACTCTGAATCTTCACTTGAGTTGAGACTCGTAAGACTCATGAGACTCGGGCGCATCTCTCGGCCGGGAAGAGACTTGAACCATTCATAACTTCACATAGCTACCCTAGCCACTCACTAGACTCATCCCATCTCATCATCTTGCGTCGTACTCTTCCCTCCCGTGCTATCTGTCATCAACTGCACCTCTGGTCTTAACTCCACCCTCGTTCTCGCATAGGGCGACCACTCATACTACGAAGGCACTCATCCGGGAATTGCAGCCAAGACCCATCACTAACTCCGGGTGAAACAGCACCTTAAAATGGACGGCCGCATAAAAGGTCCTCGTCGCCTGTCGCGCTCTGGCCCTTCCGTCCCTGGTTTGTTGAACTAACTGGCTCCCTGGGAAAGGTCCGGTTGGTGGCTTCATCTACTCCGTAGACTTTTCTATATGCATTCGATGCATTGAAACAGCAGAGACCCCTGGCAAGGCCCCATGCGAAGATCTCTCCTCTTCGAAAAACCGCCTATATCCCACGACCGACGTATCGATGAAGAACTTGCTCTATTGTTGAGCTTTGGCACGTCGCGTGTGTGCCCACATATCCACAAAAGATCTTGCCATGTTGTTCAGGCAGTTCTCGAGGCATCGATTTGGAAGACTCGCAATATCAAACAATACCTCAAGTAGGCAAAATAAGTAGCTAACTCCGACTGCTCACGCTGTCGTAATCACTCCTCAAAATAAGAGACCGTGCCTCCCACGCCGCAAACAGCATCTCTGCAGGAACAGGAGCAAAGATGATGATGCCAACAATCTGCCCAAACCCCCAGTCGTCCCCAGCATACTCACCTCCCATGTTGCTCGCCGCCGCCGCCTGAATGCTCCTCAGACGGAAGACGCACCACAGAAGCACGCAACCCAAGAAAAGCGGGACGAACAGCAGCAGAGCCTGGACCAGACTCTGACTCGCCCACGCCCGCTCGACGAACTGTCGTGTCCGTGAAAGAGTGACGGTTCGCTGGCGCTCCTTGCCAATGTACCGATCCTGCGTCTGCAGCCTGCGGACGCCAAGCTCCATGGCATGCCACAACATGAATAAGAAGATGAGTAACGAGGCCATCATCTCGCATACGGCGAGGGCCCAGTGCTCGCTGATGGTGAATTTGGTGACCTCGCCGAAGCACATGTTCCGGATTCTCTCCCACTCTTCATCCGTGACGTATGTTTTCCCATTGCCGCCTTTGCCCTCGCCAACGCGGACCGGTGCCCAGTTGTGAATGCACTGCGAGAGGAACGGGTAGAAAAACAAGACGCAAACGAGGGCGAAGAGCATCAGACTAAAGTCCCGTCGTCTCTGGTCTTGCCGCATTTTCCTATTTTGTCGCGCCTGTCTATCGCTCTCCGGGTGGAATAGTTCCAGGGGTAACAGGGCGACTGGGTACAGCAGCGGCAGGATGCAGACGACGGAAACCGCAAGGGCGATTTGAGCTTCGTTGGCGCCGAAGCCGGCTGTGGATATACCGAAATCCTTATTGACGAGCATAACTATCGCTGCGAGCTCGATGGCGATGGCAAAGTAGATTGCAAACTCGAAGAAGGCGTCAAAGCCGGCTTTGAGGACGACTTGGAAGAACTCTGCTCTTGGGCCATATCTCTGTCGAATCATTATGATAAGGGAAGCCAGAACGAAGCCTAGGGCTAATTCGACGGCATAACCGATGGAGACCTGTTGTCCGTCATGAATCAGTACTGTTGAAAAGCAAACGGTGTGAGATAAGTGAAGCGTACTTACCCCTATTCCCGAAATGTCGGGATTGGCATCGCCCCAGATGGCACCGCATATCTCTTCTTTGCATCGAACAAGTTCGGTGATGTTGAAGCTTGTCGCCGATTTAAGCTGATCAATGTAGAGATTGAAGTCGTTGAGGTCTTTTAAGCTGGCGCACCGTTCAGTCATGTTGACCATGAGCTCTTCTGTGTAATCTTCTTGAGGAGAGAACTATACAAACGCAGTGATCAAGGGAAGAGCTTTGGGAACTATGCGTTGTAGACAAAATCTGAGAAAGTCGACGAGCGAGCATATAAGATAGAGGGCAAGGAGAGTGATGTCCCGAAAGGGAAGAAGGAAGTAGCATTGTCTTCCAAATCATTGCCAAGACCTCATCTTAGCTGCTTTAGAACTCACGTGTAGGCAGCCTCTTCAGATTGCAGACGAGAAGCTAGTAGAAAATATTCAATGCGCCTCATGTCTGAGTGCTAAACAAGCCACTCAGCCTGGTCAAGCAGGCAATCTTGGAGAAATCATTATTTTCCTGTGTCTTTCCCGCCGAAAGCATGTCGTTAGGCGTTCCTGGCAAACTGAGTCGCGAACTGATCATTCCAATAGTAAGGCTGCCAGATGAGCATGAGGTAGCACAGTCTCATCCATGAATGTTCCTACTCAATTTGAAGACTCAGGTGCCTCTAAGTAGTAGGTAGCGATGCTTTCTAAACAGATAAAGACTCTTAAAATGCTCACGGGCAGAGTTCAAATTCTCGACTACGCGGTTGCTTTGCAGATGCACTTCAGGATTTCCAAAGCAGATGAACTTTACACACACTTCTTTACTCCCCTCTCGATTTCACGATGATAATTCTTTTCTTGACTGGCCTCTTCTTTGCCTGGTTCGCCTGTGCTGCTCAGGTACCTCGTCTTGTGACAGTAAATATCAACAAGGCAAACATGACAATGACTGCTACCGCGATTCAATCCGGGGCTATTCTCGGCAGGCAATTACGAGACCCGAACATCTGCGGCTATGTTGCGAGTAAGTAGATATTATACAATTGGATGTTTGGGGTCACGCTGCTGACTTTAATTCAGACAAGCCACTCGCATGCCCAAACAACGGCTCTTGCAGGACCGACAAGGACAGCTTCATCGGATGCTGCGATGAGAAAGGCCAGAGCTGTTCAATCTACACTACATGCTTTCCTGGGCCGCAGAAGCCCACACCAGCGAACTCAGGTACTTTGATATGGTAAGTTGCTACATGCACTTCTTATGAATATGTAAACGCCAATATGATGCACAGAGCTCTTCTAATATGATCTCTATAGTACGGGAACAGAAAGTTTCTGCGCAACACTCACCTGGCCTGGAGGCAAGCAGACGGCCTTCTCTTGTGCCACATCACCGACGACGGCGCAACTAGACCCCACACGGACATCAACACGCACTCAGGGAACCTCACGGACATCAATACGCACTCAGGGAACCTCACGGACAACCTCTAGTCTATTGCCTTCGACGGAGGCGTCCTTTTCTGCGTCTTTCACTTCCTCTGCTGTCAGCCCTACCTCACGGCCAACCGGCGCTCCGTCAACACTCTCTTCGCTGATCACTACTATCTTCCCACCCACCAAGACTTCAGGTACATCTCCAGATAGTCCTCCGACCACCGATTTTACAACCGAAACATCTCCTCCGTCATACAGCCCACCTCCAGAAGCAACCCCGTCTACATCGGACAAGCCGCCAGCACCGCCACCCGGAAGCGGCATAATGCAAGGTAATACTACTTTCTACCAGCGTGCCTCGTATCAAAATTTGTACTGACAGCCCAAGATCTTACAAATGAGCAGCGGGTAGGTGTAAGCGTCGGCTGCGGATGTGTCGGTCTCCTCTTCATCGTTAGTGTTATGTAAGTGCCTTTTCTCAAACAACCTTCGTAGATACAGCGGTGGTCCATATTTCTCTAACAATAGACCTAGATGCTGTACTTGTGGACCGTGGAAGGGGGGAAGTACACCAAATCCGCCAATGACGGCGTCTAAATACTCGGGGATGGGGCAACTGGTGCATCCTGGTGGGACACCATTGCATACAAGCTCTAGGGAGCTATTGCAAAGACAAGATTATACGTTTCTAGATACTTCGTATCAAGGAGGACATAATGGAAGCAGACATGAGGTGCCTGCGCCTGTAATACCAAGTCACTAGATCAAGAAACAAGCTGCTTCAGATGGTCCCAGGGCTGTTGCCACACTTTTAGTGTTGTAAGTTACACATCTACCTCATTCATAGTACATCTCTGTATTCAGACAAGGGACTTCCGCAACAAACTCTCCAACCTCTCGATATCCTCCTGCTTCGTCGTCTGACTCGTCATCACATAGAGTACATTTCCAAGAACTCTGCTATGGACGTTCCATCTTTCACCCTCGGCGCCATGCTCCCCTTGAAGCAGGGCACTTTGAAGGTTCGCGGCCGCATTGCTCGAGTACCCAGCACCCTCACTATCCTGTAAATGAATAGCAAGAACAGAACCCAGGGCCCATACACCATCTACCCGATCAGCCTGCTTCGAAACCCAGTCAACAAAAGACTGTGACCAGACAGACCAGGCCTCAGCAGAGCTGCCAGAGTCTACCTGGGTAGCGCCTGCCGTCACTGAAGCTCCCCACCCGTTCGTCTTGGCCCAGTTCCACTCCCCGTCGCGGTCAATTCTCTGGAGCTCTCGCAGCGATTCGAGGGCAACTTGACATCCGACCGCATGCGCGGTATAGCTGTGACCATGGAGCAACGCGTCGCTCTTCTCGTCGCTCTCAAAGGCTCGGAAGATGCTGTCGGAAGCTGATGTGGTGCAAAGGGGTACCAGGCCGCCCGTGAGCAGCTTGGCGTTGCAAACGACGTCCGGGTCGACGCCGAGGAATGACGCGGCGGAGAAGCGGCCCAGGCGGGTGAGACCTGTGAAAACTTCGTCAAAGACTACTGGGAGGCCGGTCCAGGTGTTCTCGTCTGCCGCTGAAGGAGACTGCGTTGCCGTTCCGAAGAGCTCGGGGTGCTGTCGGACGACCTTGACGAGAGTGCTTTGGAAAAGAGGATCGCTGCGTTTGGAAATTAGTTAGCAAGAAATGCTTGGTCACACAAAGCGTTGTCTGTACTCACGCCATAATCATGCCTCCCGCTCCAAGAATAACGGGCTCCATAACCAAAGCACCAAATTTGCGCCCCTGGTCCTGGAGACGACGCAAGACGCTAACGATGTACTCCTCGTACACCTGCGCCTGTCCCGCCCTCTCCCTACCGTCGACATCAAACACCGCAGATAAGCTCTCAAACTCCTGCCCAGCACCCAGCTCCTCCTTTAGAACACCGGGAACCCGGACCTGCCACTTGCCGTCCTTGCACATCACGGAAGGGTACTCGAACCAGAACCCTTTGCCGTCATACCACTCCACCTTCTCGTTGAACACAGACGGCTCCGTAGAGTCCATCGCGCCCATGGTGTCGCCGTGGTAGCTGCCCCTGAGGCCCAGGATCTCGAGCTTGTCGCTGGCTTTCCAGCCGTAACGCACCCGCGCGGCGCGGAGGCCCATCTTGACGGCGACTTCCATGCCCGTGCTGCCGTTGTCCGAGTAGAAGACGCGGGAGAGGCGGGGATTCCGCAGGCCCTGAAGCAGCGTCTGGGCAAGGGCCAAGGCGGGCTCGTGGACGGCGGAAGCGAACATTACGTGTCCGTAGCGGCCGGCGGCGTAGGAGGCTGCGAGGGTGAGTTTCGGGTTGGCGTGGCCTAGACCCTGCGTCCACCAGGATGAGGACCCGTCAAAGGATGGCTGCAGAAGGGCTTGGTCACCGGGTTGTTGTTGGCTCTGGGGGACGAGGGTTTGAAAGTTGTCGCCGTGGGCCGAGTCAATTGCCGTGATCTTGTCCGGTGTCAGGCCCTTGTGTTGTGTGAAGGGGTACCAAATGATATCATGCGCGTCGCGAGACATGGTTTCCAGACGGGCGATGCGGGCGAGGTGGCGGGCGTGTAAGTGGTCCAAGGTGTCTTTGATGGCTGTGCTAGACGACAATTCGGTGTAGTAACGAGACATTGCTGCTGCGTCCGCCTGCTCATCTTTGGCACGAGTGGGCGGCTGTTCTACAGCGGTGACGGGGATGCCGTGTCCGCGGCGGAAGTAGTCGGCCAAGTAGGTGTCGTTCTGGTAGTACCCATCTCGGAAGAGTAAAATGCTTTCGACATCATAGCCTCGAAGCTTGAGGGACTCAAAGGCCGAAATGGTTTGGGAGATACCGCCGAGTTTGGCGTCGCCGATGAAGATGACCGGAGCTCGGAGCGGGGCGTAGAGGTCGGCCTGCGGGGTGCCGGATGGAGCCGGGGAGTGGACACCACCGGCGGTTTCGATGAAGAGCCAGCCCGGCCCATCGACCGCTCGGCTGGATGAGTAATTGTAGATACCTCTTAGTACTTCATTGTCTGACGGGGTCGGCTTTCAGTGAATTGATTAGTATGGTGACAAAGAATGAGAAGATTGGTAGCTTACCTGGTCCGAGGCTGCAGCGGCCAGATGGGGACTTGCTGGAATCTCAAACTGAAACAGCGTTTTCCTCGCGATGCCAGGTGCAAACCTTGAGATATGACTGGGGAAGGGAAGCAGGATTAGCAAGGCCAAAGAGCGGAATTAAATCCGAAGGAGTTCGTGTTTCTGTTTTCTCTTGTGTTAGCTTATGAGTAAGAGATCATAACGATAGTGGAGTTGACTGCAGCGTACACCTATCGTCGGCTTCGGTGGCCGGACCCGTAGAAACGGGTTTCAAGAAAGCCGTCTTGTCCTGCGGCCAGAAGTTGCGGGCCGCGTTGCAAAGGGCCGAGGCGAAGACGGTCTTGCCGACATCGGTGTTGGCGCCATAGATCTGGTATGTCCTGAGCGAACGCCAGAGCAGAGCGCCGACGGGTGCCATTGAGGTCTTTTGGAGCTGGTTCAAGCTCCCATGTGGAATGAAAACCTCAAGAGCGAAGACAAAAGAGCAATTGGTTGGTTTCTTTGAAACGTATTGGCTGTTTGCTCACTTGCTGTCAGAGCATGCACTCCCAAATAGTGACCCAACGAGTCACAATGCCTATTACTAACACCCCAGGTTTACAAGGGAGCTGGAAGAATGACCGAAGAGGACACAGAAGTTAGAACAGGCGGGGTAAAGTATCCGTAATACTACCGTACCTGTTCTAGCGCTGCGGGATTTGTTGTGCCGAGAAACTGGGGCCAAGCGGCTATCAAAGGCCAAAGTTGTTGAGCTTCTGTTGGTGTTAGTGTTATCCTTTTTTTTATTTTCAACGGCGGGTTTTTTGAGCTTTACTCAACGGTGCCATCGGTGGCTCGGCGCGCGGCCAGGGGCGGGTTCGTCCTTGCATGGATCTTGCATCTCGCGTCGCTTTTCGGCTATGCGGGACTTTGAGAGAGATCTTCAGGGCCAGGGCCAGGGGTTTGAAATTCACTCGTTGAGAAGTCGTTTGTTTCTCTACTCCGTACGCCGGACCGCAGACAGCTCCATACTCCACAGTCCCAGTGCCGAGGTTTGATGTGGTTCCCTCCTTCAACTATTACTCCGTAGATACATCCAACAACTCTCATTGGAAAGTCTCTCGGGAAGTATCCGACAACCAAGCTCATCTCAACTATGCCGGCGAGCGACCGTCTGGACAAGGTCTATGCGGCGCTCCTGGCCCGCCGGGAGTCAAAGAGCCAGCTCCGGCGGCTGACCCTCGTTCCGGCCGGCAGCGCCGACTTTTCATCCAACGCCTACCTCTCTCTGTCGACCCACCCCGAAGTTCAGGCTCGGTACCTGTCCCGGATCAAGGCCCACCTCGAGCCGTCCACGTCACAGTCACCGTCCCCATCCCGGATGATTGATGCTGGAGATGGCAGTGCCACTACTAAGCTCAATGGCAACGGCAATGGCAATGGCAAAAGCCAAACTCACAGCGCATCTCTCCTGGGCTCCGGTGGTTCACGCTTACTAGACGGCAACGTGTCTCTTGCAGAATCCCTCGAGAGAGACATTGCCGCCTTCCACCGCGGCCCGGCCGGCCTGCTCTTCAACTCGGGCTTTGACGCCAATGTCGGGCTCTTCAGCTGCGCCCCTCAACCGGGCGACATCATCGTCTATGACGAGCTCATCCACGCCAGTGTCCACGATGGCATGAAGCTGAGCCGAGCGGAGAAGAAGATTGCTTTTGCGCACAACACGGTAGATCCCGCCGAAGCCCAGCAGCAGTGGCCACAGAGCTTGAGCGAGGTTTTGTCTAGGTTAACCGATGGCGAGGAAGGCCGTCTGGTACGCGAGGGACGGAAACGCATCTTTATTGCTGTTGAGGGGATTTACAGCATGGATGGGGACGTGGCGCCGCTCAAGAAAGTGGTTGAGTGTGTTGAACGGCTGCTTCCCCGCGGCAACGGCCTGATTATTGTTGACGAGGCGCATTCGACGGGGCTTCTTGGATCAAGAGGGCGAGGGCTCGTTTGTCAGCTTGGTCTTGAGGATCGGGTGTGGGCTCGAGTACACACGTTCGGCAAGGCGATGAGTTGCTCAGGGGGTATGTTCAATATATTACAGCCCGGGTTCTTCCTCTGCTTAAAGCTTACTCTGAAACAGCAATCATCTTATGCTCCCACATCACTCGGTCATACCTCATCAACTACGCCCGGAGTCTCATCTACACCACCGCCATGCCCTTCACGTCTCTGGCAAGTATCAAGACGGCGTACGACTTCATCGCAAACGGGCACTCTGAACCACTCCTTCGCCATCTCTGGTCCCTCATCAGCCAGACAAACGAACTTTTGCTAATGATGCTGGAACGTCACCGGCCTGATAGAAACCTGATGCACCTGGCACCTGGGAAGCCGAGATCGCCCATTATACCGCTCTTCACATCGGATCCTCGGGGCCTGGCACAGCACTGCCAGAGGCGGGGATTTATGCTGAGGCCGATTGTTGCGCCTACTGTCCCGGTGGGAAGCGAGCGTGTGAGGATCTGCCTCCATGCCGG